TGTATTGTGTTTAGTGAGAAATTATAAACAGTCATTTCAAATAAAGAAAACAATTTTCACATCAGTGATCAAGCTTTACGAAAGTTTTTTTCTACAATTTTTTCCAGTCACCCAATCTTCTCAGTCTCCATCAGCTGGTGCTTTCAGCCTCCATGCAGCCAGTGTTCTTCGCCCGCTTGAGGGCAGCCATGCATGTCTGTTGATAAAACACTGTGACAAAAGCAACTGAAGGATTCAGTGAGTGTGAAGATCGCACTCTGCTCTTGCAGAGGACCTGAGTTTGGTTCCCAGCACCCACGGTGGGCGGTTTGTAACTGACCTTAACTCCAGCCTCAGGAGATCTGATGCCCTCTTCTGGCCTCCAACGATACCTGTAGTCACATTCACAGCCATACGTACATTTTCATAACTTAGTGTTATTATTGTTTGGAAAGCAACGTAAGGGGAGAAAGGGTTATTTTAGCTGTAGTTGGAGGGGAAGTCTTGGCATCAGAAGCCTGAGGCAGCTGGCCACACGCAGCTGGGCACACCGTAACCACAGCCAGGAAGAGAGACCAATGACCAATGAACAGTGTGCCCTTGGCCTCTTCTTCCTTCCGCAGACAGTCTATTTTATTTTTATTAATTTTATTGAAATTTTTTCATACATCATTTTGGTCATATTCTTTTCCCTCTCCCAACTCCTCCCAGATCCTCCCTACCACCTTGCCCAACCTGCTTCATATTCTCTCTCTCTTTAACCAGAACCAAACCAAACCAAAACAGGAAAAACAACAAAAAGAAAAATCCAAACAGACAAACTAAAACAAAACAAAAACACGGAGTCCATCTTGTGCTGGCCCATTACTCCTGGACACGCCATTGGAAGTCACCCATATTTCCTTTCCCATGAGGCATTAATCGCAAACAGCTTCTTGGTAAGGCCTGGGACCTATGTCCCCTCCCCCGTCTCAGTGCTGGGATTCTGTCTGGTTTGAACCTGGTGTTGTGAGTGTTCTCCGTCTCTGGGTTCACATGTGCACCAATCCTGTTGAGTCTGGAAGACTCTGTTTCCTAGGAGCCATCCTGCACCTCTGGCTCTGACAGTCTTTCCACCTCCCCTCTACACAGATCCCTGAGCCTTGAGGGAGGGTTTAATAGGTATCTCATTGAGGGGTGGGTGCTGCAGAGCCTCTCACCTGCTGACAGTCCAGCTGTGGGCCAGCTGTTAGTCCCATCTGCCACAGGAAGCTTCTCTGATCAGGCCGAGTGACACTCTGCCCTATGGGCATGGGGACGTGTCTTTTGGAGTCATTTCACTGCTATGTCCCTTTAGCAGAATAGCAGCAGCAGGTTTCCTCCTGGCCTGTGACCTATCTAGTCTCAGGCTTTTGGCCACCTCAGTAGCATCATGGATGGGCTCTGTCTCCTAGAGTGGGCCTTTAAGCCTCATACACAAGTGACTGGTTGCTTCCACTAACTGAAGGTCGTTTGAGGAGTCAAACTGCTGGGCTGTCTTGGCAGGGTAGGGTATGTGTGGATGGGGAAGGGGGGAGTCTTGCCAACTTTAAGGGGACAGGGAAGGAGAGGCACAGGAGGAAGAGTTAGGGCAGGATTAGAGGTAGGCAAGGAAGTATGTACCAGTTGCTTTCCTGGTACCCACAGTCCTGCCAGAGGGGGGGGATTCCCAACCAATGCTGAATTTAGTTTTTTTTTTTTTTTCCCTTCTGTTTACCCGGTCAAGTCAGGGTCCTAAGCTGACATTGTCACCAGCACTGCCATTTTGTGGGATCCTGCTTTGGATCTAACGGTCACACTTGGGCTGCTCTTGCACTAGTGTGTCTTGCAGTGAGGTTGCTGGGACACGCCGCATGGTTGACACATGGAGGATACTGATGCTGACTCGTATCCTTAGGTCGGATGGACAGTACCTTCTAGTACCACGCATGCTAGTCTGTAGTCATGAAGCTTCAGCTACAGTCATGAAGCACCAGCTCCGTGTCCCCATGTTTGGTAAGTGAGCAAGTTGTGCCTTCAGCACAGGGGACTTACCATCAGGCTGTGGAGAGTGACTAATAGCTGTGGCCATAGCCTGTGGTGTTTGGGGCTTTCCACAGGGGCCCTTTGGCCAACAACTCATAAGCTGTAACTCATTCTGGCACAGGAGGTTTTGTTATACCCAAGTCTCACTGATCCCAAAGACCATCAAGGAGCCAATCCCTATGCAAATGCAGAGGGTCTTTTATTACAAGCTCGACCTTGGGCCCACACTGTCACCAAGGTAGTGGTGTAGAGTGTAGAGCCTGGAGATCAGGGGGAGGATGGCTTTTATTGGTTGACAGTGAGGTTTGGGAAATTACAGCTTAGCAGTTACACAGTTGGGTGACATTCAGCAGGGAAAGCTTGTTACAAGGTGATTGTGGCTAACTAACATTGAGCAAGCTATCTCTAGACCTCAGGAATGTTAGGTATTTCCATGCTGTGAAAGTTCTGCTACCAGGTGGGTGGGCTGCCCAGCATAGATGCCCCATCCTGAGATAAGACACCTTCTCATTCTTGTTACCTCCAGGCTATTCCTAGGGTAGGGGGCTTTATTATCTTCTTCCTGTAGCTGGTGACCTATGGCCTAGTTCCTGGTGACATTTTTGGGAGGGGGGTCACTCGTTCCTGTTGGCTTTTGGGGTGTCCACCTAAGTTCTCTGTCTTAAGATCAGCCATGTCAGCCCAGTGACCACTATTAATTTTGGCAGGAGTAAAATTCTTGACAATGACCAAGAATCCCCAGGACTATAGTGTACCTTAGTAACGATGCACAAATATGACTAAATATTAAAAAAAAAAATGTTAAGAAGTACATACAAGAAAAAGGTTTCCAGTTCTTGGAACAGGCCAGGGGTTTCAGAGGGCAGGGTAGAGGGTGACAAAGCTGTCCCTCTCCCTCTCCTTTACTAAAGCCAGAAATAGTTCTAAGTTTTACCTCCTCTTTTTAATACTGCAATTAAGCCCAATGTCAGTGGGCTTAAAATGCCAAAACAGTATGCCTGAGAACTCATTACTTTTAATTGTGTGTCCCTGTCATGCTATTGAAAAGCTTGCCGACCCAAGCTTCATCCAAGCTGTGGAAGAGACATCTCACAGAGGTCCTTCATGACCTCTGCAAGCCAGCAAAGCTTAACAGAATCAGAACATTTGCCATTCCCCTTTAGCATAAACACGTTTTTACAAGATCTTAATGTGGTTGTGGTCGGCCAGTTTCGGAAAACCACGTTTTGTTTTGTTTTGTTAAGTTGACCTGGTTCTCAGAAGGTCTTTGCGGTCTGTTGGTTTGAAAAACAGTCTACACAATAGGAACATAAATCTCATTTTACCTGAGAAAAGAAGTGCAAATACAAAGACCCTGGGCGCAAGTCTGGAAGCTGAGCAACAGGAAGAATGGAGGCCTGTTATTATTGAACCCACAGTAAAGTCAACAGTGGAGGCAGAAACGGAGGCCGGGAGTATGGAAGCCCCGGAGCTGGCGGGGGCTGCGGTCATGAATGCCAGCCTCTAGTTTTTGTTTGTTTCAGAGGCAGGGTCTCACTGTAGGTCAGGTTAGTCCCGATCTCGCAGCAACCATCCTTCCTTCATCAGCTTCTCAAGGGCTGGGGTTAAAAGCGACGGCCACCCCGCTAGCAGGAGCGCTGCTGTGTCCGAACCAGAGAAACCGCCCGGAGGTTGCTCCCGAGGCTGCCGGCGGGGTGGCTGGGTCACCGGCACCTCGCTGCAGAGCGGTGGAAGGCGGCCTTCAGGGTTTGCGGTCAGCCGCGGCCGGTCGGTGGCAGGCCGGACGCACACGCCCGTCTGCGGCGGCTGCAGACCCTGCTGTTTGCTGGGGTCCCGCACGGAGCCATTGTGATGTTAATGTGTCGCCGAGGCGTCCGGGGGCCGGGCCTTTGGAGTGCCCGAGTAGGACCCCGGTGCTCCTGGGCCCTCGCGCGCGTGCCCAGCCCCGCGTGACTGCTCGCACCGCGACCCGGAGATGCTGCGGCGGCTGCGCTCCTGCCTGCGACAGGCGCCCGCGGCGGGCTCTCCCCTCTTCCCTCTGCCCGCCCCGCCGAAGCGCAGCCCCGGGCGCGCGGGACCCGCCGTGCGCCACGTGTCACCGCCGAGCCGCGCGTCCCCACGCGCCCGCGGCTTCGTCATGGCCTGCTCGGCTCGGGCAGCTGCAGCCCTGGCCCGCCAGGTACCCGCGTGGCAAAGGGCGAGGGGCGCCGGGACCAGCCTCCCGCGTGGGGCCCACTTGGGGGTCACTGCGGGAGGGTGCCATGGGGTTCTGGGTCACCGCGGGGCGTCATGGGTCACGAGGACGTGCCGCGGGTGGGGGAGGCTTGGAGGTGAGGGATGCTCAGAGGTTGCCACGGAGGACTCGGCGATTGGGACACCCGGGGTCGCGGTGGAGGTCGCCACGGAGGGGACACGGGGATGGGGATAATTCATGGGTGCCCTCCAGTCGCCAACCAGGGCTGCGAGTGTCTCCACCGGAGAATTCTGGGGTCATCCTGGGGGTCTCCACTGGGAACTGAGCGGTCACTGTGGGGATTCGGGGGTCGCCACTGGGATGTGGGGAGACTCGTGGTCCTCCACCGAGGACCCAGAAGTCCTCCCCGGGGATGCGGGGAGTCAGGGGAAAACTGGAGGATGAGGGAAAGCCTTCACCACCCCGAATATTGCGGCGCAGCAGCCCCTGCCAGCGGGACCTCCTCCCCCCC